TTACATAAACGTGTGTGTGTGTGGAAAGCAATAGAGAGAGGAAGAGAAAAAGAGAGAATGAACGCCAGACATTAATGAACCTGATATTGCACTTATCCTGCTTCGCTTCTCAATATCTAACGACTTTTTAACCAACGGAGGAGGAAGAGGGGCAGAATAAAAATGACTGCTGAATTAGTGGTAGGAATTGACGTGGGCTGTTTTTGACATAGAATATTAAACACCACCCCTAGCCAATTTCGCTGACACTAATATAGTTGACTGCCGTTTTTTGTTTTTTTTTTAAATGCCGGTTAAAATAAATACTTCTAATTAATTTAAATGAATGAAAAAGAATACCAAACACATCGAAACAAAAATATGGCAAAGTCACTTCCGGTCAAAATACCCCGTGGTGGCTTTTTTCTGGTTTGATTAAATTTGGGAAATTCCGATACCATTGAAGTTGAAATTAATTGCAAGTGTTAATTGGCACGGGATTTGTAAAAGTTACTAGATGAGGCACCCCGTCGAATCGTAGTTCGTTTACACGGGGTTTTTGAAATATCGTCTGGTATTAAAAAACGATACTGGAGTTGATATATATATATATATATATATATATATATATATATATATATATATATATATATATATATATTGTCTATTCCCTTTCTATCTTTCTCTGGGTTTTTTTCTATCACTTTTTAGCTCACATTTTCTATCCCCTCTCTCTCTCTCTCTTTCTCACTTTTTCAATCCCCTTTCTGTCACTTTTTTTTCTATCAAATTTATACCGTTCTCTTTGTCTACATCATTTCTCTCTCTTTCTTTTCTATCTCTTTTCTAGCTTCTATTTTCTATCCCCTTTCTATCCCTCCCCTTTTCTCTCCTCAATCTGTCTTTCTCTTTTTTCTACATTCTCTCTATCTTTCTCATTTATCTATCCCCTTTTTAACTATCTCTCTTTTTCTATACCCTTTCTATCTCACTTTTTCGTATCCCATTTCTATCTCTCTATTTTTTCTTCTCCTCTCTATCTGTTTCTTTTTCTATCATTTCCTTATCTTTCTACCTTTTTCTATCCCCTTTCTGTATTTCTCTTTTTTCTATACTCTCTCTATCTTTCTCTTTTTTTCCATCCTCTTTCTATCTATCTCTCTTTTCTACCCCCTCTCTATCGTTCTTTTTTTCTATCATCTTTCTATCTTTCTGTCTTTTTCTATCCTTTTTCCATCTCTCTCTTTATTCTGTCCCTCTCTATATTTCTCTTTTCTATCCCCCTTTCTATCTATCTCTTTTTCTACCCCTCTCTATCTTTCTTTTTTCTATCATCTTCCTATCTTTCTGTCTTTTCTATCCTTTTTCCATCTCTCTCTCTTTATTCTGTCCACTCTCTATATTTCTCTTTTCTATCCCTTTCTATCTATCTCTTTTTACCCCCTCTCTATCTTTCTTTTTCTATCATCATCCTATCTTTCTGTCTTTTTCTATCCTTTTCCATCTCTCTTTATTGTCCACTCTCTATATTTCTCTTTTCTATCCCTTTCTATCTATCTCTCTTTTTACCCCTCTCTATCTTTCTTTTTCAATCATCTTCCCTATCTTTCTGTCTTTTCTATCCTTTTTCCAACTCTCTCTTTTTCTGTCCTCTCTATATTTCTCTTTTCTATCCTTTCTATCTATCTCTCTTTTTCTACCCCCTCTATCTTTTCTATCATCTTCCTATCTTTCTGTCTTTTCTATCCTTTTCCATCTCTCTCTCTTTATTCTGTCCCTCTCTATATTTCTCTTTTCTATCCCCTTTCTATCTCTCTTTTTCTACCCCCTCTCTATCTTTCTTTTTTCTATCATCTTCCTATCTTTCTGTCTTTTTCTATCCTTTTTCCATCTCTCTCTCTTTATTCTGTCCACTCTCTATATTTCTCTTTTCTATCCCCTTTCTATCTATCTCTCTTTTTCTACCCCCTCTCTATCTTCCTTTTTCAATCATCTTCCCATCTTTCTGTCTTTTCTATCCTTTCCATCTCTCTCTCTTTATTCTGTCCACTCTATATTTCTCTTTTCTATCCCCTTTCTATCTATCTCTCTTTTTCTACCCCTCTCTATCTTTTTTTTTTTCTATCATCTTCCTATCTTTTCTGTCTTTTTTATCCTTTTTCCATCTCTCTCTCTTTATTCTGTCCACTCTCTATATTTCTCTTTCTATCCCCTTTCTATCTATCTCTCTTTTCTACACCCTCTCTATTTTTTTTTTTTCTATCATCTTCCCTATCTTTCTGTCTTTTTTTATCCTTTTTCCATCTCTCTCTTTATTCTGTCCCTCTCTATATTTCTCTTTTCTATCCCCTTTCTATCTATCTCTCTTTTCTACCCCCTCTCTATCTTTCTTTTTTTCTATCATCTTCCTATCTTTCTGTCTTTTTCTATCCTTTTCCATCTCTATCTCTTTATTCTGTCCACTCTCTCTATATTTCTCTTTTCTATCCCCCTTTCTATCTATCTCTTTTTTCTACCCCTCTCTATCTTTCTTTTTCAATCATCTTCCTATCTTTCTGTCTTTTTCTATCCTTTTCCATCTCTCTCTCTTTTGTCCCTCTCTATATTTCTCTTTTCTATCCCCTTCCTATCTATCTCTCTTTTCTACCCCCTCTCATCTTTCTTTTTTTTCTATCATCTTCCTATCTTTCTGTCTTTTCTATCCTTTTCCATCTCTCTCTCTTTATTCTGTCCACTCTCTATATTTCTCTTTTCTATCCCCTTCCTATCTATCGCTCTTTTCTACCCCCTCTCTATCTTTCTTTTTCTATCATCTTCCTATCTTTCTGTCTTTTCTATCCTTTTTTCCATCTCTCTCTCTTTATTCTGTCCACTCTCTATATTTCTCTTTTCTATCCCCTTTCTATCTATCTCTCTTTTTCTACCCCCTCTCTATCTTTCTTTTTTCTATCATCTTCCTATCTTTCTGTCTTTTTCTATCCTTTTTCCATCTCTCTCTCTTTATTGTCCACTCTCTATATTTCTCTTTTCTATGTATCCTTTCTATCTATCTCTCTTTTTCTACCCCCTCTCTATCTTTCTTTTTTCTATCATCTTCCTATCTTTCTGTCTTTTTCTATCCTTTTTCCATCTCTCTCTCTTTATTGTCCACTCTCTATATTTCTCTTTTCTATCCCCTTTCTATCTATCTCTCTTTTTCTACCCCCTCTCTATCTTTCTTTTTTCAATCATCTTCCTATCTTTCTGTCTTTTTCTATCATTTTTCCAACTCTCTCTCTTTTTTCTGTCCACTCGCTATATTTCTCTTTTCTATCCCCTTTCTATCTATCTCTCTTTTTCTACACCCTCTCTATCTTTCTATCATCTTCCTATCTTTCTGTCTTTTTCTATCCTTTTTCCATCTCTCTCTCTTTATTGTCCACTCTCTATATTTCTCTTTTCTATCCCCTTTCTATCTATCTCTCTTTTTCTACCCCCTCTCTATTTTTCTTTTTTCAATCATCTTCCTATCTTTCTGTCTTTTTTTCATCCTTTTCCATCTCTCTCTCTTTATTTGTCCCCTCTCTATTTTTCCTTTTCTATCCCTTTCTATCTTTCTCTCTTTTCTACCCCTCTCTATTTTCTTTTTTCTATCATCTTCCTATCTTTCTGTCTTTTTTTCTATCCTTTTTCCATCTCTCTCTTTATTCTGTCCTCTCTATATATTTCTCTTTTCTATCCCCCTTTCTATCTATCTCTTTTTACCCCCTCTCTATCTTTCTTTTTTCTTCCATCTTCCTATCTTTCTGTCTTTTTCTATCCTTTTTCCATCTCTCTCTCTTTATTGTCCACTCTCTATATTTCTCTTTTCTATCCCCTTTCTATCTATCTCTCTTTTTATACCCCCTCTCTATCTTTCTTTTTTCTATCATCTTCCTATCTTTCTGTCTTTTTCTATCCTTTTTCCATCTCTCTCTCTTTATTCTGTCCACTCTCTATATTTCCCTTTTCTATCCCCTTTCTATCTATCTCTCTTTTTCTACCCCCTCTATCTTTCTTTTTTTCAATCATCTTCCTATCTTTCTGTCTTTTTCTATCCTTTTCCATCTCTCTCTCTTTTATTCTGTCCACTCTCTATATTTCCCTTTTCTATCCCCTTTCTATCTATCTCTCTTTTCTACCCTCTCTATCTTTTTCTTTTTTCTATCATCTTCCATCTTTCTGTCTTTTCTATCCTTTTTCCATCTCTCTCTTATTTGTCCACTCTCTATTTTCCTTTTTCTATCCCCTTTCTATCTATCTCTCTTTTCTACCCCTCTCTATCTTTTTTTTTCTCTCATCTTCCTATCTTTCTGTCTTTTTCTATCCTTTTTCATCTCTCTCTCTTTATTCTGTCCACTCTATATTTCTCTTTTCTATCCCTTCCTATCTATCTCTCTTTTCTACCCCTCTCTATCTTTCTTTTTCTATCATCTTCCTATCTTTCTGTCTTTTTCTATCCTTTTTCCATCTCTCTCTTTATTCTGTCCCTCTCTATATTTCTCTTTTCTATCCCCTTTCTATCTATCTCTCTTTTTTCTACCCCCTCTTTCTTTCTTTTTTTTTTCTCTTTAATCATCTTCCTATCTTTCTGTCTTTTCTATCCTCTTTTTCCATCTCTCTCTCTTTATTCTGTCCATCATCTCTATATTTCTCTTTTCTATCCCCCTTTCTATCTATCTCTTTTTTTACCCCCCTCTCTATCTTTCTTTTTTCTATCATCTTCCCTATCTTTCTGTCTTTTTTCTATCCTATTTCCATCTCTCTCACTTTATTCTGTCCACTCTCTATATTTCTCTTTTCTATCCCCTTTCTATCTATCTCTCTTTTTCTACCCCCTCTCTATCTTTCTTTTTTCTATCATCTTCCTATCTTTCTGTCTTTTTCTATCCTTTTTCCATCTCTCTCTCTTTATTCTGTCCACTCTCTATATTTCTCTTTTCTATCCCCTTTCTATCTATCTCTCTTTTTCTACCCCCTCTCTATCTTTCTTTTTTCTATCATCTTCCTATCTTTCTGTCTTTTTCTATCCTTTTCCATCTCTCTCTCTTTATTCTGTCCCTCTCTATATTTCT